TTAGCCATTTCAATCCAATTGAAATGATGAGATTGAAGATGTAGTTATCAATTAAAAAGTAGACATGATTGATATTTCAATTTGGTTAGATTGTGTATATAATGGATAATAATTGATTTGGAGACATTATGATTAAGACACTTTAATAATATAGTGGGTATTTTTTTACTAATTTTGATATTATAGCTCTATTCAATCATATATGAAATTTTTAATATAATTTTTTGTTTAAGTAGAAGGTAAGGTCATCATAATATTAGATGGCATTTTTGGGAGCAAGAATTATTTATATAAATTATTTTATAATATGTTTTTTTATCTACTATTCATCCTAATCAAGTTAGCCTTCTTTTTGTTGTTATGTTGATATAATTTGGTGCTCAAATCTCATAGTGTATATATGATGCAAAAACAAAGTTTAAATGATCTATTTTTTGAGCTATTTATAAATGATTGCTTATTAATTATTAATGATTGCTTATTTATTATTGCTTTAAGTTTTTAAAAAGCATTATTAAAAATGACATTCAATATAACTTTTTAGGAAGCATTGTTGATGCAAGCCCTACCAAATAACTTTCAAGGGCCCTACATCAATTAATTTGTCAAATCAATTAAACCAAGTGCTTTGGTTAATTCTTATGTTGATAGAAATGTCTTATCAATAGATATTGCTTATTGTGATTATGCTACAGTTAATTGAAATACTTGAAAAGATTCGTATATATCAACACCACTATTTATTTCTTTACTTTGTACCTCTTATTGCTTGTTGTACACTTTCTGCCATGTATTGGCTAACAAAAAACTTCATCATTTATACAATAAGTTGCAATCCTCTATTTCAAATATCTTTATCCTATACTTTCATAATCATTATTTTTTTTTATCTTGATGTTATGTATTTATATGGCCTAGTAAGATTCCAAGTCACTATGTCATCTATTAATTTGTTGTATGATTCATATATCTAAGGTTTTTTTTGAAAAATAATAATGCATCTACAACATGTAAATTTTTATCATTGTCTTTATTGTAATTTAGAAAGTTTATTTTTAGTACTATAAATTATTTTTCCTTGTAATATTTGTATGTTTTAATATTGCACTACATAACTTTGGTAATACTTCTATGTTTTAAAGTGAAGACTTAAGTTTGGATGTTGCAGTGCAAGGCCTAGATTGCATTAATTCACTTCAAGTATTGTTGCTGTTGCCCACAATGCTACAAAGAACAATATAAAAGACAAATATTAAAACATCTTTGATAAAAACACCTTTGTAAAAAATTCATGGTAAAATAAAATTTGATGAATCAAATATCCATGATTAATCCAATTGCAAAGCCAATGATACATTGTATTGTGCCAATATTATTTCTAGTTTAATATTACCTTGCATATTGTTATATTTATATAACGATGTATTTTTGATAAAAATTAATGATGGTGGGATTGAAATAGCAGGAAGTAGGGTTGATTTAATATCTCTTTAATTTTAATTATAAAAATATGAGATACTAACTTTGAAGATAATTTAAAGATTTAAGAAATAAATAAATAAATAAAAAATAAAATGATTGTTGATAGTCCAAATTTTTTAATAGTTGACTCATTTGAATTTTTTTTAAAACTTTATGCTTAATTTTTAATTTTAAAATAAAATTAATATTTTTAATTATATTTTTATGATTTTTATATTAAATTTATATTTTTATAGAAAAAAATATTTTTATACTAAATAAGTCAATTAATCAAAGTAATTTATTAATTAATAAAGGTTTTTTCTACTATTTAATGGTTTAAACTATATATGTATTTTCAAATATAAAATATTTATTCTTATTATGATATATTTCAATTTAAGAATTAAATCAAATTTTGTTAGATAAAAACTTGTATAATTTGACATATAATTTAATATTTGTAGTACTTGTAATTTTCATTGTTATTTGTACATATCAAGATTTCAATCTAATAGATGACTCCATGATTGTTTAAGTATTCTATCTATTATATAAAACAACTTAGGTATAAGCTAAAGACATAAAGATGCCTTCTCATTGGCCAAACATAGATGAACAAGGAAATGAATGGATGGTAGTACTAAAAATTGTGGCGCCCAATGGCATAGGTTTTCACTAGTAATATAAATATATATATATATATATATACACACACATAAACATTGATTGTAACTTAAAAAGTAGGTACATTTACAAATACAAAAAATTAAATATTACTGTAAAAAAGATTGTATATAGTACAATTTTTATAATTAATTATTACTAAGACGGTTGTAAATAATTTTTAGATTAAATTATGTAAAATCATTTGTTATCTTTATTTTTTGTAAAGTCCTAAAATCCAAAGTCATGATAACAGTTCTTCACATATTATTTTTAGTCTTTAATAATTAATAAGTATATTTAGAATTTTATTCTAATCCTCTATAAATAAAATAGGATAATAATTGGAAAATTATAATGTTATGTACAACTTTTGATCAAGCTGTTATTGAAGAATTTTTATAATATTTAAATTACATTTCTATAAACATTATAATTATTGCATTGAAAATTATATATATATATATATAATATTTAAAAAAATTATCAAAAAAATCGTCATTATGGTTACACTTTTTAAAATATATGTATATCTTTATTGTCTATTATGTCTATAAACTCATAAAATTATTTTAATAAATTCAAATTATTTTATTAATCAAAATAATCACTAGCCTCCATCAGATTCAAATATTTCTTTTTTTAGATTCGTTTATATACAACCTATTTTAAAGCATCTAAAAATTCATATATATATATATATATATATATACATGTTTTATAACAAAGTAATTTAAAAAATAGAATAAAATTTTGTGCATTAATCAATTTATCTCTAGAATATGTAATTAAAATAAGAGAAATCTAAAATTATAATATTCAAATAAAATTGGAATATATTAACAACTATCTTCACAACTACCAATTGTTTTTGCTTAAAAAACAATTCATCAACAATACATATAAATCTTCTAGTGTTGTAATTTATTTTACATAAATATGTCTATTTGAGTTTATATAAAATCAAGATTTAATTTACTTTAGTTTGACAATTAATAAAAGTGGTATTTTACCTTAAGTCTTGATATTTTTCATATTGAAGAAATATTATGTAATCTGGTTTTGCCTATCTTTGTGTATTAAAGTTATTAATTGATTTTGCAGCAATTTGCATTAAATCATCTTGAATTTTCATGTGATACTAGAGATTATAAATGTAATAAATTGGCTTTTGCAATTCCATTCAACTTGCTTTTCTTTTTACATTTCCAGCAATTGGTCATCACATGCAACCATAAACGTAATAAATTTATGGAAATTACTAATGCTTGGCATTGCTTTAACTAGTTCTTTTTTACATTATCCCTGAACTTCCATTGGTATTGACTAATAAGGTTTTTCCATCATTATCAATATTGTATTTAAGTTGTCAAACATTAACATTGTATACATTTAATTGAGTTCCATTCTTTGTTCTAAAGGATTTTTCAAGTTTCATCATAAGAACTATAAAATTGCAAAATAGGATGGAAATGTTTATTCAACATCAGTACAAATTATACCAAATAACATTTGTTTAAATAAATACTTAAGTATTCTATTAAGATTAATTGATTAAAATAATTGAATAGATAAAAATGCAGATACTTTTTAGAAAAAGTCTTTCAGTTTTTGCCTTTTTTCTGTACTATCAAAAAAATTAACTTGATAGGGTAAGATTCTTTTTCATCAATTTCTGATTTACCACATAGTAACTTAGGCAAACAAAAAATTATTTTATTGTTAGTTTGTAAAATCTTTTAATTATTGTTGTCTCTGTTTCTATATATATATATATATATATGGATATTAATTCCTTCAATTTTATTTAGTTGTTTAACATGAAAGGGGGATTTTGTAATCCTATGAAAAAACAAATTATTTAGAAGTTAATGATTTTCATACAAAGGACAACCAATAATTATAAAAATATATAAATTACCTTCGAAATAAATTTAATACATAAACGGATAATTCACAACCTTTATGATATAATAATATCTATTACAAAATAGAAATGAAAAATCATAAATTTCAAAGATAAATAAAGGGTTGATATTTACATTCATTAAATGAAACACCAAACAAATCTAGTTGCATGAAGTTTATTATGTTGAATCTTTATTAGAGATTTTTCGATCGATCACTTATCTTGATTATAATTTTTTTAAATATTTTTCAGTTGGAATTTTGAAAAGTAAAATATAAAATAATGAATCAGAAAAGAAGATATAGATTTTGTGAATATATAAGTGTATATCACAAAATTCAAGTTTATTATTTTATGGATAATCATAGAAATAGACTAGAAATAAAAATTAAATAATTTTTTTTCTGTAGTTTTTTTACTTCAGTTTTTTTTTTTTTTTTTTTTTTTTTTTTCTTCTTCTTCTTTTATTTTCATTTTGGTTAACAAAGTGTATACAACAAGTACCTACTTCAAACTCGAAGTGATATATTTGGAGTAGATGTTTTATTTGATAGGCATTTCATTATAGTATTTAATGATGATTATTGGTTATTAAAATTGAGGCACATGTATATTACAAAAAAAATTTACTAACAAAAAAATACAAATTTATTTAATATACTTAGAATCTTATAATGAATATTTCATAATCTAAAATATATTATTATTGTACATTTAATACTACAGATTCCATGTGATCCTAGATAGTCTTGCAGTCACCAGAAATTTTCTTTTCATTATTGGGGAATAGTTCCAAAATTTCACACATATTTTGGAATTAATACAGAAATTTAATAATTAAATAAATACTATGGTCACAAGGACGAGCACGGGCGAGTTTCGGCTTTAGGACATGTGCCCTAAGCCCGCTATGTCTCAACCGTCGAGACAAGTGTCCAGATGGGGATGACATTTCTATTCAGAACAGTCGACATGGATTGTGTTCTGAATAACAATTACAACGGGATTTCAATCCCTAATTTGACTCATTTTGGTGTCTTGACGAAGCTCCACAGCGACCTCGATCGTCAATTCCATCGCTGGACACGCTTTATGGTCGAAGCTTTGCTTGGGGAATCCATTGTTTCCCGCTTGCATTGTGTTTGATCGTGTTGTCGGAAGATGTATGAGGGTTTAGGAATGATTTCAGCAGGTTTTAGGGCGCTCATGGTGTCGGAGGTAGAGCGGAAACTGTGGCAATGGTGGACGCTCTTTCGCTGAGGCTGATCGTTTCAGCATCGTTGGCAATGGACTCAGGGCTGGCGACGAACAAGGTTAGCTTCTCTCGGCCTACTTGATTCTTACTTGCTTAGTTTACCAGAAATTCTCTCGACCTGCATTCCTTAGTTTGTTTATCATGGGAGAATATGTAAGAATGCTTATTCGGAATGAGTTATTGAGAATCATTCAATGAGAATTTGATTGTGCTACCAATTGCGATTCTTTTAATGTCTTCCACGGTAGCGGCCAACAGAACGAGAGAGTCAACATACCTGTGAATTACTCGCCATTTTAAAGACTTTGCAAATACTCGATCGATCCTCTGCATGTGTCTACTTGTTTTTGTTTTCAACGAGTCGCGCATCATATGGACACCTCTTCCAGCTGCGAATGCAATCATTATCATATTTGAAAGATGACCTTAGCTTTTCTTCTGAGACTATTTTATTTTATTTTTCGCCCTTAATTTTCCTCCTCCTCCCTTCTCTAATTCCAGCTTTCGACATTATTTCTTCATTGCAAAACATGTTCTTATAACCAAGCATGTGCCTAGTAATAATTGAACAGTTAAGCTGGGCTTGAGAAGCTTCCTTAGAGTTGCATGAGTTGTGAAAGTCTTGTAAGCTTATGTTCGTGACGACAGTAAGAATTGCATCAGATTTAAAACAGTTCAGTAATACTGAATATGAGCTGTACAACACATAAATTTTTGTTTGTAATATGTTCGGATGTTGTGCTTTGGCAATGAGATTGTGTTCAGATCCTGCACATGTTTTAGGGGAGTTTTGCAAGGTAGAATTTCTCGTGTTACTCGAAGGCCATAAATCATCGTCATAAGTGTGTCTTGGTGAGATTTTTGATAAATATTGTCCTTGTACTAACCCTGCTGTTCGTGCTCGTGTTGGTGCTTGAATTGTGCACGAAAGTTCGGTTTTGTCGTACTTAGAGCTGTGCTGTTGCCGTTGCTTGTAAAGGCTGTATTATAGCGTCATGGTGGCTTTGTCCGTGGCTGGTCATCAGCTATAGTGGGAGTCGTACTTGGCAACAGTTGAACACATGATGTGGATGCTTTCTTATGAGAGGTTCAATTGATACTGAGGTCAACACGTTACTTCTAGCAGATAGATGCTCTAACGGCAACTGGTTATTCAGTTTGAGGCAAACTGTTATGTATTTGACTTGTAATAACATTCTTGAAATTTTTGAAAATTCAAACGGAGAGACACCTCTTTTGAGTATGTACGCTTTGTAGAATCTTGTAAATGCAGAGCTAGTTCTTTTTTCTTTATCCTGTACGCTGTGGTGCACGATCCTTGCAAAAAAAAGATTGGAATTTGGATCCAAGAGTAGTGGGTATGTTCCCGATTCTGCTTGAAAATGTTATCAATACCAGAGCAGATGTGTGACCTTCGAGAGCTAGAGTCACACATCTAGAGTTCCTTAATGTTTTAGACTTATAACATATGAAAATTTTAGCAACAAGAAAAAATCACACTTGATAATCATCATACAACTAAAGAAACTTAAGTAATTATATATTTGTTTCTAAAATTTGCTAGTAATACAAGTGTCAAGATAACGTTGATATTCTTCTTTTTTACATATTTGGAATTTTTATTAAGGATAAATGGAGTTTTTTCTAAATTAAATAAATAATTTACTACAAATAATTACAAAAATTTAGTAGATTAGATGGTATTAAAATTATTGTATTATATCTATAGTGAAATAATTTTTGATGAGATTAATAAAATATATTTGTTGAGGTCAAAGTTAATTCTCTTCTAAATGTATTACTTTAAAAACTTACTATAATTCTATGATGTTGTGTAAATAAAGATTGTCGTACACAACAATTTGGATGCCAAAAATCATCATCAAGTATTCATTCAAAACCAAATAAGAATGCACAACAAACTCTTTCTTAAGAAAAGATGAAAAATTTAAATGCAACTTAGTTAAGCTATTTTTTACACCACAAAGAAAGAATATAAAAATGCAAGTGTTTTGAGAAAACCCTAAACTTTACTTGATGGCTAAATCACCATAACCAAGCAAAATCTTACAACTACAAACTCTCTTTTTCAAAAACACTCACAAGACTTGACTTGACAAGAATATCAAGTCAATTGGCTTTTCTAACTAAATCCTCAACACTTAATTGACAATCACAAAGTCAACTAACATAAAACATTAAGTGAAGTTTTTAATACAATAAAGAATATAATAAATAAATTTAATTTAAATCAATTACATGAATTTGGAGGTAGTTTATTAATTTATTTGAAGTTAAAAATAGTATTTATAATAAAAATACATTATCAATTTGATATATTTTTTAATTCAGAGATTATTAATTTTTAGTACATGATTAAGAATAAAATTTACAAAAAAATTTGAAAAAATAATAATAATGATATTATTGTTATTACTTAAACTTGAATTAATTTATAAATTAGATTTATATAAGTTTCTATGTTTTATAATTGCATACTGATAAAATTAAAGTTTAAAATGAAAATATAATATTTTAACAAATTTCTTTAAAAGAAAAATTTATAATATTTTATTAATTTTTAAAATATAAATATAATAAAATATAAAATATTTAAATTAAAAATATTCTTGAATAAATATTATTAGGCACTAAAAATCTAAATAGCCTAAAATGAATAATATTTTAAAATACAAAAGAAGCATTAATAAGACTAACAATGGTCATTACTTGTCTTCTATATATTATTGAATGATATTTAGGTTTTTTTTTTTTTTTTTTTTTTAATTATATAGATATATTTTAAAAATAAAATTTAAAATAATTTACTAATACTTTGAAATAATATATTAAAATTCAAAGTATTAGTAAAAATTCAAAGTATTAGAATTTTTAGATTGATTATTATTAATTTTTTTATTTTTATTTTATTTCACATAAATACTTGTATTTCTTTACATGTAAAAGTATTGGATTTGTTCTAGACTCAACAAGAAGGCATTGTGGAACTAATATATTTGGCTTACATCTTTAAAATAATATAATTTGTATGCATATATATATATATATATATATATGTATAAAAATTATGTTATTTTTATATTAACTATCCTATATATTGCTTAAGCATCAAAAAATCCCATTAGTTGGAGCAATAGGATAGTAAAACCCAGTTACAAGTTTAACATAGTTACTGCGAAAATACTTAGTTACTGGGATTAGAAGATGGAATGGACTGTAGTAGCAGCGACAGCAGCACAAATGAACTTGACCCCCACTTGGCTAACATGGTTGATATGGCATTGTTTTTTTGTTTTGTTTTTTTAATCTTAGTAAGGGGCATTGATTGGCTGTTAAGATATGTTGTATTTTTATTTTTATTTTTTTAATTGGCTACTAAAAACATACTTGACATTGGCAAAGCCAATTGTTTAACCACTAGTTATTTCATATAAATATAAGAGATGCATAAAATCCAAAATTTACACTTTAATGTTATTTTTATTTGAATTACCTAATGTAGCTTAAATGATAATCCATAATCGATTACTATTTCAGAAAATCATTCTTAAATTATTAAATCACAACATATATTCAATCTAAGTCTTCTAAAATTACTGGTTTGATATTTTAGAAGCAATTACAAAACACAATCCTACTGAATAGGAAACTTCATTCTGTTAGAAAACTCTTTCCATTACCATGCCTCGACCTTTTTCTTGAAGAAACCTGTCAATATCATCAGATTCAAAAGAATGAACTCCAATCTTTTACAAGCTAACCTCAAACTTCTTAAATTTGCAAAAATGCACTTCAATAAGTAGACATAAAAAAATAAAAAAAGAAAAGAAAAGACAAGAAAAATTTGATTATTTAAACCAAATTGCTTGAATCAAGTTTGTATTCATAATCCAAAAGAAGGTGAATGGTTATTAGTCAACAAAGAACGACAGAGGGTGTGAGATTTATAGCATCATCAATCAAGGGCATTAGATGACGAGCATTAGTGAGTGGAATTTTTTCTAAAATAAAAATATTATAGTAGACTAATAGTGCAGTACTTATATGAAATCTATTGAAGAGAATGTAACATGGTTAGAGGAAGGAGGAGAATAGAGAGCATGGTTGGCGGAGGATATTAAATGGAGGCACATGGATCCACAGAAGAAGAGGAAGGCTGCCTCAACTCTTGATCTAACTTCAAAATCAGTACAAATTATGTTAAAAAGAGCATCTATTGCTCTTTCAATCATTAAATTCTTCTTATTTCAAGGTTGAATTTGTCCTAAAAGTTACTTGCATTTTATTGAAGCAACACTTTCATGTTTTCATCACGCTTTGCAGCTTTCGGATGGAACCGACACCTCACAAGTGACGCCTGGAGACATCTAGAATCCGCTAGCGTCAGTGATGATCTGCGGTTAATGGTCGTTGACATAAATCCGATTTGCTCGCAGCAAACCGCTTATTCTCAGTGATGGTCGCCGTGTTGGTTGCTGTGTAGAATTGCGATGGTCAACAGTTCGGCGTTCAACCGGGAAGCGGAGCCAGAACCAGGCAGATGGGGTGTCAGTGATCAGCAATGAGCTAGCTCGGGGCGATGGTACCCAACATTGTGCGAGATCCCCATCCGAAGTTGCAACATAGATTTGTGAACAAGTCTGGGTGGTAGCCCAGGTTGTTGTCACTTGATGAATCGGAGGCCATTCATTCATTCATTCCTTCATACAGGTCGAGGCTTGGGTGCAGTTTTCGATGGCACCTTTAACCATCAAATTCATACACACAGCCTTCTCTCATGATTCTGACTGTTAGAGATGAGACTTTTTCTATCATGCCTCTTCTCAACATTGTCCTTAGTTGATAAAGCTCTTGGGTTTTACGAAGAGCTGCACAGGCTCCCGGTTGAAGCTAGTGTAGCCCATGCTGTCAGTGATGACGAGCATTCTACAGTCTAGTAACCGACGTCACCTAAGTGGGTTTAAGCATTGTACACCAAATCTCTTCTCCTCTCATCGCTTACGCATTCTTTGCTCGTGGTGGGGTCTATTCGTTTCATTCTTTTTTTAAAACTTTATTTTCAATGAGAAGCATTCTGCTGTTGGATCGACTCTCCCTTTCACATCTCTGGGACTCGCACATGACGCCTACCCTGTGGCCAAGTCTCTGAGAATGGTTTCTATATGGTATAAAACGGTTTTGAGAAGTAATTTTCTGCATTGTATCAATGGGTACTCACCCTGCTGACAAAACAAGTCAACTGAGATCCTCAAACAGAAAATTTACAATATATAATTATAGCACTGTTTCGTTGAACATCAGTGTCCAGAAACAGTTAGTTAAAATCTGCCACCCTGTTTGTAAGTTGACCCCTACTCAAGTCATGTTGAGTTGATATCACCCTTGGACTTGTCAAGGGTCAAATTTAGTGTGATAATTTCCACAAAGCTCAGGACCTTTCATTGTCTTTTTCGATCTCCTTAATCCGAGGAAAGCCTTTCTATTATTAGTTTTTTCCTTTAATCACTGGCACGCCCCACAAAGCATAACGTACGAAACTTCAGGTGGGCATACTCAAACTTTGGTCTCAGAGACGTTATGGATGCTTAGCGATCCCCGATCATGTGCATTTGTGGTGCTAGAATCAGATTGTGGGTCACCAATTTTGAAGTTTTTGGCTGAGGCAAGCTTGCATCATGGCTGTAGTTGATGGGGATCAACTTTGCAAAAAGGGTGTAACATAAGATTCAACTAATTAAATGTCATTTAAGATGTAAAAGTAGAATTTTGTGCATTTGAATCATTAGTGTATTCTGCTAACTTGTGAGTAGATGTGTGTGTGTTGCGGATGATAGTGTTATTTGATGCGTGTTTTTCAACAAGGCATTTACATGGCAACACACTGTTAAAATTTAATGGTTGAAAAACTATGGGTTTGATAACACAATGTAGTTTAGGTTATGATATGTATTCACGTAAAAATTAAAAACATGTATTTCTATTTAATATTATGCATGTATTTTATTAATTATTAATTTAGTTATTATAATATCAAACTCATACACATATATATATATATATATATATATATACTTATATTTAAACATATAAATCATAAGTTTAATTGTTGAATTGGATTTAATTTTGTATTGTTGAAGATTTTATTTATTATGTCATAAAAGATGATTTTAAAAACTATTAAAGATATCTTGTATTATTAGATCAATGTATAGAATTTTTTTAATATATAATTAAAAAATTATTTTTAATAAACTACTATTTTTATAATGCATAAAATTTCAAGAATTTAAGAAATAAATTATTTAAATCTAATAAAAAACTTAATGCTAGAGAAAAGTATAATTTTAAAGACTAAATATATGATTTGGTCGTATAGGCCTAAAAATACATGATTTGACTTATGTGATCAAGTTCGTGATTGATACTTAATATAAAATTTAACATGCCAAATATTAAGATAAAAGTATTTATCATGCATGCTTTAAAAAAATCCTTTAAGTATTAACATATTTTTATTAGATTCTATGTATAACTTTTTATCTTGTAAGATAATATTTATTATTTAAAAAAAATTAGATGGTAAGGTCAAATTCTTTTTATGCTGCAAAAATAGTGATATCTGTGTTGATATATGCGTGATGGTAGAGTTTCGTCTTTAGAGGACTGCAGTGGCTGATCAGATTTCGGCCCTTTTCTGGAGCTTGTCCATGCATCGAGCTGCCCAGACGCAACACTCGTGCGGTAGAATCAGCTCAACTTGTAGTGGTTCTATGCTACGAACTGTTTGGACTGCAATGCCCCCCCGTGGAGCTGCTCTGCACTGGGCGGAACTTCTAGCCTCGCTACAAAATTACAAGGATTTACACGAGTTTTGATAATTTTTCTTCCAATTTTTCTGTCGTTTCGACTCCGTTCACAGATCTCCGAATTAAATTAACCGCGTGGAGGTGGCTTCGACCGGCTTGGAGAGGACCCCTTCGCGCCCCGGTTCACATTCTTGTGCGCTGGTGGAGATGAACGGCGAGGGGTGAAAAGCGCATTGGCCTCTGGAGGTGGATAGCTTTTGGGGGACTGTCGGTCTTGCAGAATTCGCCGCGGCTGCCACTCTGCTGAAAGTCGCATCACTCTCGGATCTTGCTGCAGTTAATCAAAGCCAAAATCATCAGTCTCTCTCTGTCTCTAGCTCTCTCTTTAACTCCAAGAAGAACAGAAAATGTTTTACGGAGGCAACCATGCTTTCCAAGCCAAGAATGTCATCTGCTAGTTTGCTGAGAAAACATAATTGTTTGCAAAATCCTTTGAGGGCCATACTAGTGAGGAGATGAACTCACCAAGGTGTTGGTCGTTTGCACAGAAGATGCTTCGCCCAGAACCAGTAATGGTACAATTGTCATGAAGCCAATGACCAGGAGGAGGCCCCAGAACAGCAGTGCACTCCTCTTGAGCAATAAGCATGCTGGGAAAAGGATTCCAGCTGCCTCCATGTTCTTATGGTTGGTTTGTTCAACAAATTCCTTTTGGAAAAGAATGCTTCAGATTAGTCCCGTCTCACACACTCTTTCGATGACCATAACCTACCACCCTCTGATTCTAAAAGCAATGCGTATAACTAAGGGCATAGACTACCAAATCGATGATTCCCGACATGGATTTTGCACCAACATGGGACGGAACACGGAGAAGAGCAACAACTTGTCAAAGGTTACACCAGATGATCATCTTTCTATCTTGAATCATTTGGGTCTGTCAGAACATTTGCAAATGCAAAAGCTAGTGCCCCTGTCATACAATGCGGACTTATATATGAATATTCAGTTGCTGGACCCAAGTGCCCCACCTCACTTGTCACGCCTGTTATTTGACCAGGAGCTTGCGATCGCCTAGCCATTGGGCCCATCACCTTGTCTGCGCGTCTTTACAGTCTCCAACAGTTGTACTTCCATTTTGCGAGAAGCGAATTACTTCGCCGGGCAGATGGTCCAGACCGACACAGACGTAAGAATGAGTCGTCGAATTCATGAGACAACTCGGCCAAGCTCAACCTGAGCTTGATTCATTTTCTTTGATTCCTTGCACATGTATCCCCGAATCTGAGCATCTCAACACAATCGATTGCAACGTCGTCTGTGTTAGTGAAACTGGCGGTTGTTTCACCCCATCGGGACCACAACTCACCTTCAACCTCGTCTTGAAGCCAGTACTGTTTGACAAAACACAAGTACCCCACAAAAATCTGATTTGTTGGACCTACTAGGCGTTGATCTGATCGAGGCATGTCAATTCTTCAGAAGTTGACTCAACCTCACTCTCGCTGCTAAATTTGTCAGCAAATCAAGGGACTTTGTTCACAGCTGGTTCCTATTATTCGAGCCATAATCCTCACTGCAGCGTGAGATATGTCTCGGCAAAGACATTCTTCCCGAGTCCTTTTACTGGTGGCACAAGTAAAAACTAGCAACAGCTTTTGACTGCTGCTAGTTTTCAGAGTCTGATTGTGGACGGCATATTTGCAACCCTTGTGCGCTAATCTTTAGAGCAAGGGTGATCGAAAGGGTGTTGACTGAGGCGAACCAACTTTTTGGTTGCTGGCCAACTTCCTCGAGGGAATTCCAACAATACACTAGGTAGCCCATATTCTTTTCACTGTTTCACTAATTTAGAACATACGTTGCGGAGACAGCTTGTGCTGCAAGACATCCTGCCACAGAATGCCGTGTTGAGTTCATTTCAGTCACTTAGGAATCTATCAGGGACTCAAATTTGAGTCAACTACGTTCCAATCTGCCCTCACGAGTTGAGAATTGATTCCATTTGTTGCAACCTACAACTGTGCATTACACAGCCTGAAATGAGAGGCGAAATTTTGTCTGCTCTTTTTTTGAGAAAGCTTATTTGAACGGCTAATTTCTTTGCATTTCTAAGTTGTTTGTGGCAAGTTGAACACTGCAAGAAACTTAATTAGATTGCCTGTTCCAACTGGGGTTTTTGTTTGTTTGTTTGTTTGTTTGTTTGTTTGTTTTTTTTTTCCCACTCCAACGACTTCAAAACTATATGAATGAAGAATCTTCTACGTTGGTGAAATAATACCGAGTTTAATAACAACACTATACTTGATATATATTTCGGGAATTAATAAGTATGTCTGCCAGTCATGTGTGTTGCTTGTCAACTAAGAGTCTCAAATCAAGACAGTGAGGCTTCATAACATACTTTACTGACTTTTTGTCAGCTTTTCCCACATTGTTTATTAAGATAAGCCATCCCATGATGGCTTTTACTAAAAGTGAGTCAAAATAATCTTCGCATGAGTAACCACACAAAGTAGTAGTAGGTATATGGGAAGAAGTGTGAAACAAGATAAGTTTGTGGAGCTCTTTTGCACAACATTCGATCCATTACATGACAGTTGACATGCAAACAAAACGAATTTTGAAGAGATCGATTATTTAATGGACCGTTGTTCCAGAAATGGTCGGAAAATATCGATGGTTGGAAACTGTGCACCACAGAGGCAAAAAAATCTGATGTAAACCGATCACTTTCTTGATGACTAGCAAGGTGGTGATCCTCTTGATGGCTTCTAAAACCCAACCTGATTTTGTGAATAGACTTGGAATCATCTCGGTCCAGATAACTATACAAATCTCTACAGCTCGGACTATGCTTCGAATCTCTGGATTCAACCAAGGTGATTGAAGTTCATCTTCAATTGATACATATATGTTTACAATTTTCCATGATTAAAGACTGTTAAAAACAAAGAAAAATACTGTGGGTACATCTATACATACATATATCTATTTATCTATCCATGATTTGAAGTATCATAATCAGACATGAGAAAAAGTTGGGGCAAACTTTTGGTTGTACATTCACATATCCAATTGAGAAGAGAAAGCTAATATTGTTTTGTAATAAATAGAGTTAATTTTTTTTTTCAATGTCTATCTTCTTCTACAACAAATTATGAAGCATTTTCTACATTAGTCTACAAATTAAATTATCAACAATTGATAAAGTTATAAAGTACTTAAATCCATCTTTAGATCTTTATTAGTAATAATTAGTCATTACATACAAGTTAACATTAATATATGTTGTATTGATAGAATTATATGTTACCTTTTTGCTAATAGTTTGTGAAGTTAGTAAAAAATTTATAAAAGGTTTTAATAATTGAAGTAAATAAAAAAATTGTATGAAAATTAGATTTCATGGATTTTTTAGACTTGATTCTTATAAAAAACAAGTTGTCATAAAATCATAAGCTTAATTTATTTTGTACTTGTGTATCTTTTAAGTTTTGGAGATTTTTTTTAATTTCTACCATATGATTCAAAAAAAAGTTAATTTCTTCATATTGTAAGTCAATAAATGTACAAAAAATATAATTAATATTTTAGTTCTATTGAATAATTAAATTTTATAGACTGGAATCTATTCAATGTTATGTTATCAACATTTAGCTTATCTTAAAATAAATTAAAATTTAAAGTAACTTAAAATAAAAAAATATCCACATCTAACATACAATCCTATTAAAGATATAAATATACACATTTTTAAAAAGAATAATTATTTAAATTATATTTTAATTAAAAATAAAAAATAAAGAAGTAAATTATAATTAAAAATTTAATAAATATAAATTAATTTTATAATAAATAAACAAAATTTATAATTTTAATTCAATTGTAGATAAAAAAAATATAATTGAAAAGACAAAGAATATCTTTAATCTTATTATAATATAAACTAATTAAAAAATATGTTATGTAAATTTATTCAAAACATTTAAGGTACATAAGACGAATGTTTAAGTTTAAAAAATCTTCTATTTTTGAATTTTAAAAATCATTGTTGGTAAAAATAATAACAACAGATATGTAATGGATTTTTTTTATTAGATTAAAATTATTAAAAAAAAATTTGTCAATTTTATTTTAAAAAATCAATCATTCTTGACAATATGGCATAATAAACATACCTTATTACTTACCTCTAGCACAAGTAGTTTGTTTTTTTAAAAGTATTTAATTTATTTTTTTTCATTTATATATTGTTTTTAATTAAATTATTAGTTTTTTAATATTTTAATAATATATTTTTTTAATTTTATATTTTAATATGAATAATTTTTAAATTTTAAAAAAATTAAAGATTCTAATTATAATTAATATAAAATAATATAAAAATATGAAAATTTAAGAAAAATTCACCCAATGTAAAAAGATTTAAAAAATTAGTTTGAAGGTGTTGCTAATGCTACTTTATTTTTTGCTATTTCAAATATTGCCACCCACTTGACATATTTTTTTGGTTTTTTTATGTTTTATTTTGAGAGTATATTCTCTTAATATTTCTAATATTCTTATCTATTAATACAACTCTTTAATAAATAAAATAACTAATAATTTAATAAGAACAAATTATGGTACTAGAATAAAAACCATGGTAGAATTAACAATATCCTATTTTCAATATAATAATTAATAATACATTAAAATAGAATCTTAATGTATTAATATTTATTTAATTAAATTTAAGTATATTAAATAAATAAAATTGAAATATATATATATATATATGATATTTTTTCTCCAAAATTTTAAGAAGTAATTTTTTGCAACCCTATATAAAATTAAAATTTCTTATAAAAATATAAAAACCAAAATATATCTATAATAATGAATAATGAATAATGAATAATGAATATCATCCAAAAACTCTCTCTATATATATATATATATATATATATTATTTTTATTTACGATAATCCTTATTTAATATATTTTTAAAATTTTTTATTTTAAAATCTTCTATTACAAAAATAAAATAATAAGAATTCAAATATCAAAGATTTGTAATAAGGTCCATAGAAAAGAATGACCAAAATTGGTTGAAAATATGTACAAATTTATCAAGTTTATAAGATTAAGAACAAAGAGTTTGTATTTGAGACTTAATATTACTAGATTATGCAATTCTTTTGACTAAATTTGGAATATTAGATATTAAAATCTTTTAAAATAAATTCCAAAGATTTATTGTATTCAAAATATCTATTTTTTTGAAAGTTATACTGCACTTAGATACACAAAGTTTTACAAATGTTTAATAACAGATATATATATATATATATATATATATATATATATATATAAACTAAAACAGATTCTTCTAAATTCAAAATTCTTTAAGGTGTCTCAAAAGTTTCATTTAAGCTTATAACCAAGATAATTTTTACAAAATTTAAAATTAAATTAATCAAATAATTATAATTTAATATAAAGTGATTATTTTGTAGTTTAAAATACGATTTTTTATGTTTTAAAAAATGATTTTCTAATAACAAAACTTACATCACTTTTTTTTGTTTTTGTTTTTGTTTTGTTTTTTTTTTCATTTTTAGGTATAAGATAAAATTTCTTATATAAGAAATTCAAATAAATTTTTATATCTACTTAAATAAAATATAATAAAATAGAATTTTATTATGATTAATAATAATATAAGATGTATTTAATGACATAAAATAAAAGATGTTCTAATAATAATAAAACTTAAATCAATAATATCTTCTAAACAATTATTCTATCCAATGATTAAATCTAAAACTGTATAAAATACTTGTTGTAAGTTAATCATTGTCAATATTGCTAAAATATCTTTATAATAAAAACAATAGGATAAATAATATTAACCAATTAAATTTGAATAAATTCTATATCTTATGTACATATTAAAATCTTTCTATGTATTTAAAAATTTTAGATTACATTC